CATCATTGAAATGTACGGTGAGTAGGACTCGGGAGGTGATGGTCCCCCTGCACTCAGCACAGTTTGGGGCCCCACCTTGAGGGCTGGGTCAAGTTTTGGGCCCCTCCCCACAAAAAAGACATTGAGGGGCTGGAGGGGGTCCAGAGAAGGGCAACGGAGCTGGGGAGGGGTCTGGAGAAGAAGTCTGATGAGGAGAGGCTGAGGGAGCTGGCGGGGGTCAGCCTGGAGAAAAGGAGGCTGAGGGGAGACCTTCTGGCTCTCTCCAACTCCCTGAAAGGAGGGTGTAGCCAGGGGGGGTCGGTCTCTGCTCCCAAGTCACAGGCCATGGGACAAGAGGAAACGGCCTCCAGTTGCACCAGGGGAGGTTCAGATTGGAGATTGGGAACAATTTTTCCACGGAAAGGGCGCTTCAGCCTTGGAATGGGCTGCCCAGGGAAGTGGTTGAGGCCCCATCCCTGGAGGGATTTCAAAGCCGGGTTGCCATAGTGCTTAGAGCCATGGGTTAGTGATGGGTTTTATCAGAGTGAGGTTGATGGTTGGACTAGAAAGGTCCCTTCCAACCCAGACAATTCTATGATTCTATAAAATATGACATACATAAATACTGACAGAGCAGCAGCTCCGGATATTTGTAAATTCATGTCCTGACAGCAGAGCTCCAACAGAAGCCATGTAAAGTTAAAAGTGCCGCCCTTGAAGAATTCATGAACAGGTCAAGGAGCTAAAACTCAGTTTTTGGTGTAAGTATACTATGCCAACAAAGCTTTGTCTAAAAGGAAATCAAAGCAGATAGTTAAGCTCTCATATCACCTATAACACTGAGCAAATGCATAAAAATACCCAAGGCAGAGGGTAACAAACCCTAGAAAGGGATACGAACTAGGTAAAACACGAAATTGAGTATTTTTGTCTTCACTGTTATGATGAAACTTATATAAAAAAGAACACAACGCACTCCTTGTAACTGTTCCTTCATTTGAAAGCAGAAAGTACTACAAGTCTGCAAAACAAAACATTTACAAGCAAGCAGCAAAATGTGGGGAAAAAAAAATATCTATAAAAGTGGCGTGAACTTATTACCTGATATTATATAGGGGCTGTGTCTGATGTACAACGATATTGCATTTTGGACATCTGTTGCTATAGTAGAAGTGTCTCACTATGCAGCTTTTACAAACTGTAAAGAAAAGATACCCCATAAAAGCCACACATCCATTATACAATAGCATCTGGTTAAGCAAGAGGAGCAATTACACCCAGGCTTCTCAAATAAAATTTGTCAGAGGCAAAACGAAGCAAGTCTTTCAACTTTGAAACTCAAGTGAACAGCAGCCCCCTGCTTGTACAGGATACAACAATCCTGAATCAGGATTATTCCTATGAGTAATCCTAATCCAACTGACAGCAGGTGTTCACTATTGTAATTGTGTTGCCCACAACAGAGTAGAGCTGGAGCAATAAAATACTGACTGCTGCAGACAGAAGGAAAGTACCCTACAAACAGTTTCAGTAGAAGAACCAAGGTAAGAAGTTATAAATCTGCCATTTTCATTGTACTTTACAAATTTGGAAGGAAAGCTAATGAGTGGAAATACCTAGAATAACTAATTTACTATCAAGTCAGCTCCATATCAGCCTGAACACATCAAACTTTTCAAAATTTACAAGGAAACTTTCAAGAGATCATCACAGTTGCACTTGCAAAAATATGCTGTCCTTAACAACAGTTGTGCATTTTCCTAAATTAGAAACTGCACTGAATATTATGATGCACGGTATGCATCAGACTAGTGAGCAGTGTCCCATAAAATTAAAAAAAAAAAAACAAAAAACAAAAGAGAAATAGAAAGATGGGTTTTCCCTCTATGTAGTGTTAGTGGCTGGAAGGACTACAAAAACAAGATTCGTGGATTCAGGTGGGGACGTGGGTGTGGCTCAAAGTCAGCTTCACAGAAAGGGTTTTATTAGCTTTTAGAGAAAATAGTTCTGTTAGCAATGGGAAAACCGTCAGAGCAAGACAAGGATCGAAGAGAAAAATATCAAGACAAGACAGTTTTTTATTATCCATCCATTTCTAGTCATCAGGTTATAGACTAACTGTTCCAGGGGTGCGTATAACCATTTCTGAACTGGTATTTCCACACAGCCACTTATTGAGTTTTGTGAACTTTCATATCAGCAACAGTTTAGGAAACTCTCTAGCCCATTATGAGCAGGGCCACTCAACTTTCCTTTCTCAGTTACATATTCAAATTCCTAGAGCCTACATAAAAAAATAAAATAACAATAATAATAAGTATGTAGTAGCTCTGCTTTTGTTTTACTTGGGCTTTATCTTTTCCTACGTCTTCTTCCTTCTTAACCTGGGAAAATAGCTGATTTCATGATTGACTGATTTAATGATTTTCTGATTCTTAAAATATCCACAAATGTATTTTCCTTAAGGAACAGAACAAACGCAACACACATTTATGTCAAACAGAGAATTATCTTTGTGAAGCCAGACCATCTCAACAGCTGATTTTTGTTTGAATGTGCAAGCAAACTCTTAGAATAACAGTATCAATACTTACAGGTGTGCAGACATTCTGTAATAGTTGTAGCATCAATAAAGTAACCTTTGCAGATGGAACACAGGATGTAAGGGGTCAACTCCGCGAGGTTTATCATACGCTACAAACAAAGACACTCTGTAAGAGTTTGAACGACATGAAATTTCCTGATTGCAGCTTCCAAAACTGTTACAGCCTTAATTAAAAAAAAAAAAAGTCTGGATCAACATGCTACAGAAACAGCTTCTCCAAAGAGGTCAGTCATTTCTCATATAGAGCTCTTTTCTAAATATTTTCATCTAGTCTTCTAAATTGACCTTTTTGTGAATGGAAACCTGAATGGAATCTGAAAAGCAAACTAAACCCAAACTTTTTGGAAAAGTTCTTTTGGATGAACTCTTTAACGAGTATCAATCTGTAAGCTTGAATTAGATACTGGTAGCAAATAATATCATTATTTTAAAAATGCTCAGTAAGTGTGTTGGGGCCCCCAATCAAGTGGGCTCAATTAATAACTAGTGCTGCCTCTTGTTTCTACACACAGTTAGGGATTGTACAAATCCATATGGACGCAAAGACTGAAATTTCACTGCTCTGAATTTGGGTTATAAAGTACCTTTATCAGGAACGCATACAAGCAATTTCATAACTACTTTCCTGTCAGAAGTCTGCTATTTCAGAAAAGAACAAATTTCTTCTATAGCAATGATCTGAGATCTGTCTGCAAGAGATAAAATATGAGGTTTTTTTACATTGTTTCCTCTCGTCTCAGAGCCAGACCAAGGGGCCTTTTTTCCCCTCAATGACACCACTCGTTTTACCCACACACCATCATTTATCACCCTCTCAGCTATGCCAAGAGTTTGTAAGGGCTTCATTTAAACGAGAGAGACGAAGTGAACTTAGGTAATAATAAAAAGCTTAATACCATGTGGCTTACATTGCCTAAGCATGGTTCGGATTTGCAGCTGGAAGTTTTCAGAAGTTCCCAAAAGCGTGTAAACTGAAGTCAGATGTTTATAGGACCTGCCTGAAAACCGCCGGTTTCTGTCAACGCCAGGCCTCACCCTGCGGGCGCTGCCTTTCTCATCCAGCTGCCTTCCCGCCCCCCTCAGGCTCACACCCCCGGGGCATCCTGCTCCGACCCGCTCCGGTCGGGGCCGGCCCCACCAGCCCGGCCTCCCCACAGGCCCCAGCCTCCCCGCCATGGCGGCGGCGCGGGGCACGCCGGGAGCGGGGCCTGGCGCGCGAGGGGGCTGTTAGGCGCCCTCGCCTCAGGGGCCGCCCCCCGTCCGTCCCCCCCCGGTACCTCCCGGTCGTCGTCCGAGTCAAGCTCCCCGTCATCCGTCCCGAACCGAGCCCCGGGGTCCCCCTCGAGCTCCTCTTCCTCCATCTCCTCTTCCTCGTCGTCTTCATCGTCGTCCTCATCGCCGCTGGACTCTGAGCGGCTCCGCTCGAACTCGAAGGGGAGGGAGCGCGACCCCGAACAGCTGGGAGCCCCCTCCATCTCCTGGTCCTCGTCGACTGGGGCCGAGGCCGAGGCCGGGGCCGGGGCCGGGCCCGCGTCTGCTCCCTCCCCGCCCGACGGCCCCGAGGCGGCAGAGTCCGCGTCCACCTCCATGTCCGCGCTCTCGGGGCGGGGAGCGGGGCAGACGCGGGACCGGCCGTCGGCCGCCCGCAGGGGACGGCGGGAACGGTAGTGCGCCAGCGCCGCTCTTTAAAGCGCATGCGCGGCGCCGGTGCGGTGTCTGCTGGAAATGTAGTTTTTGCGGACGCGCCATCGCGCATGCGCTGAGACTCCGCGCCATAAATGTTAATCGCCTACAGCTCTTTCTTACAGTGCATTTACACTCCTCGTTCCTCTGGCTAAGAATTAAGTGACTCGCTAACAAAGAGCTGACAAACGTTTAATTTATTACGAAGAGCGTGTCAATCACAAGAAACCGGATTCACTCAAAAAAAAAAAATTCTGTAGTATCAACGAACCTGTATTTACCCCACACGAATAAAAGAAGCAATACTAGGAATGCCTGGAAAACTAAATTACCTGGTCATAGTTAATTTAATTAGGAGCAAGGCCCGTAAAGGCACGCAGTCCCAAGGCCACCTTTGCTCTGCTCCATAAGGACGCCGGTAGTGGCTTATAAACACCAAATCCGTTTCTGGGCGAGGCTTCTCGCACACCGCAGGCACCACTGAGCTCCGTGAGTCCCACCCGCGCAGTCACCGCCTAAAAATTAGGGTTAATTAGCGCCGGCAGCCCCGCGGCGCAGTGGGCACCCCCCGCCCGCTCCTCCCGACTCCCGCCACTCCCGCTACCGTAAAGCGCGCATGCCAGAGTCGCAAAAGGAAGCCCTAAGAGCTCAGGTAGTCGGTGGCGGCATTGCCCGTCCTTTGCCCTGACTGTCGTAAGAGCGTCCGCGCTTGGCGGCGGCTGCCGGCGAATGGGGGGCGATGCAAGATGGCGGCACTACCTGAGGAGCCGGCGGAGGTGGCGGCGGTGGTGGTGAAGCCGGACCCTGAGGCGGGAACGCCGCCTCAGCAGCAGCCGCCTCCTGCTGCTCCTCCAGCTGCCGCCGCTCCTGCCGCTCCCCCGGCCGCGGCGGATGGGGAGGCGGTGGGGAGTGGTGTGGAGGCGGCCCCCTCTAAGGCTGCGGCAGCGGGCCCGGCCGCCTCCCCGTCGGCGGTGGACCGTCAGACACTGGTGGCCGTGCTGCAGTTCCTGCGGCGCAGCAACCTCCGCGAGTCCGAGGAGATCCTGCGGCGCGAAGCCCGCCTGCTCGGCGATGACCTCGGCGCTGCTGCCCTCAGCCCCACCGGCACCGGGCTTCTGGGAACGGCGAGCGGCGATGCGGACGCCGGCGGCGAGGCGCTGCTCAACCGGGTCACCGCTGCTGCCACTATCGCCATAGGAGGCAGCGCCGCTGCTGTCGCCTCTTCCAGCCCCGGAGTGGCGGCGGTAGCCGCCGTGCCGCCCGGGAAAGGTGGGCTCCGGGGGCGGCTGCGGGGTCGCTGCCCGGGGAGGGGGACTGAAAGGGCCCTGTGCCTCCCCCGGCCTCGGGGACTCTCCACGATGCTGGGACTAAGGGTTGGTGTCAGGTCGTGTCTCCCATGGGGTGGCCCTTGCTGGGCGCTGGGAGGGGTGCTGAGTGTGTCATTCCCCTGTACAACTCGGGAAGGGATTGGGGTCTCCTGGGGGTGCCCTCCCTGGAGTAAGGGACCAAATCTGTCATATTTGCAGGGAGCGCTGTCAAAGAGAGAGGTGCTTCCCCTTGTCTTTGTGTCCCATTTCAACTGGGAGGCTGAGGTTTCCTTTGTAGTTAGGGGTGATGGTCCAAGACGTGGCTGCAAGGGTGAGAAGGGAGGCCTGACATACAGGCTGCATTTTGAAGAAAGAGCTATAGGATACTTGTAGAGGAGGCTTTGTTAATCTAAACAGATTATACATTTCTGGATGGAGTTGCTCGGTACTTGAGATGTCCTTTGGATAATTGGAGTCTTAAGTATTTTTAATCAATGTGTTCTGTGGGACAGCTTTACAGAACAGTATCATGAAGTTTCAGGAACTGATATGTGTGAATTCCAGTAAATGGGAAATATAAAGTCAGGTTGTTCCTGGTATCACCTGATACCATTGTTTTTACACCGAAGACAAGACAATGAAAATGTTTAATGACTGCTGTGGAGAACAGAGGTCTCAGATTGTTAGCATGTGACAAAAAGTCAATGTCCTGTAGTGGTTGTGTAGTGGTCTTGGTGAATTTTTCATTGGATAGACTTAATTTGCTTGTTTACTGGAAGGAAGATAATTATAGTGGGTATATCTTACAGGCTTTGAAAGATTCCCTTCCTAATTTGACAATTTCTAGCTTTAACAGTAAAGATAATTTATTTTGGTGATGCTAGTGGCTTCTTCCTTTGCGCTTAAAATCCTAGTTGAATTGGGCACTATATTAAATGCCTTATAGGCAGCTGAAAGGAGAATTGGCTTCTGGACTATAATAAGTTACCATCCTCTCACTTATATCACTTAAACTTAGAGCTGAACAAGCACAAGACTTAGTGTCCTGTTTTGCTGAGAGCACCTTGAGCTTGTGTAGTCAGATAATTTCTAAATTTTCTAAACCACTCAAAAAACCACCCACTTGTAACCTGTGGGGAATGAGTACCAGAACAAAATGAATTCAGAAAGTGAAGTTGACAGTGTCGTATTTTATGTCTTTATCTTTTAATCTGTGCATTTTTCTGTAGGCCACAAACTATTCAGCAATAAATCACACATCTTGACCTTAGATGTCTTTTTCTGTAAGTTAACCAGCGGAGCTGTTAGCCACTGGGTGTTTGCTGGCTCTTTCAGGCTGTCTTATAAGCTCTTGTTTTATGCTTTTTCAGTTGGAGGAGCTGTTGTTGTGGAAGATCAGCCAGATGTGAGTGCGGTGTTGTCTGCCTACAATCAGCAAGGGGACCCCACGCTGTATGAGGAATACTACAGTGGCTTGAAACACTTCATCGAGTGCTCCCTGGACTGTCATCGAGCAGAATTATCTCAGCTGTTCTATCCTCTCTTTGTGCACATGTACTTGGAATTGGTCTACAATCAACATGAGAGTGAAGCAAAGTCTTTTTTTGAAAGGTAATTTATTTTCATTTGTGCATTTGCGTAATTTGTTATAGAAAATAGATTAAATCTGTAGGCTATAGCAGCATAGGCTTATATATGTATACACACATATTATTTTTCTTCTCTAATGTTGAAAGGATTTGGAATCTGAAGTAATGGTGCCATGGATTACAGAAACTGTTCTTAAATCCTTTTCCAGTCTCCTATATTAGAGAGATGTGCAAACTATATGCTTTTGTACTGTCCACATGCAGATTTTGAACCATTTTTATGGTGAGCTGATTGGCTCCTTGCTGCAAAGTATCAATGGAGAGACGCTGATGCTTTAGAGAAAGATTTGGAGTCATTTTTTAGCACTCGAAAATTGCAGGGAGGTGCCAAATAATGTGTGCTATAAGTATTTGCTAATGTCATAGCATGTATATTGAAATTCTTCACATAAGGTGAAAGGAATTAATTTATGGCTAATCTAGAATTTTCTGTGCTCTTACTACGTTTCACTTCTTTATCGCTTGAGAAATGTGAATTTAATTTGTTTTCTGCATTCAGACCTATTATGGAATATTTCAGTCCAAAAGGATCACTTTGTCTCCCTCCAATATGGTCAGCAAAAATGGTTCTGTAAATAGTTAAAATGTTCCCCGCTACAACTGTTTTATGGTGGTTTGAGAGAAAATGGAAAACACTAGACGTGTGTTAGCTATTCTATAATGCAAGTGGAGAGTGAGAAACACATTCACTGTGAAAGGTGCATGTTCATAGAATGGATCATATATAAATACATCCAATAGTTTTGAGTAATAAAGAAATATTCTGTACTTTATGATACCAGAAATTAGAGTTTCATTTCTGTAAATAAATATGGTAGTGTAACTATTTCCTTCGGGCGAGAACCCTTTGGGTGTATGAAATTCCATTTGTGTGTTCTCTTCATCTTGGTTTCTAACTTGAATGCTCTTACACCAGTAAGTTACCGGTGTATCTTCCTCAGGAGGAAATTTATTTCAGTAGAAAAAAATCCTGTATGTAGTCAGTAGCTTCCAAAAGGTCCTTACATACGTGTTTCATGTTAAATAATGTAAATAAGTCTGCACTTAGGAGGTAATGTTTTTATACTAAGTCTTTTATTGTGTCTTAAATTGTCTCACTAGATTTCATGGGGATCAGGAGTGCTATTACCAGGATGACCTGCGTGTATTATCTAGTTTAACCAAAAAAGAACATATGAAGGGTAATGAGACCATGCTGGATTTCCGAACAAGCAAGTTTGTGCTGCGTATTTCCCGTGATTCTTACCAACTCTTGAAGAGGCATCTTCAGGAAAAGCAGAACAATCAAATCTGGAACATTGTTCAGGAACATCTTTACATTGATATCTTTGACGGAATGCCTCGCAGTAAACAACAGATAGATGCAATGGTTGGAAGCTTGGCTGGGGAGGCAAAACGAGAAGCTAATAAAGCAAAGGTAAGGGGGAAAGATTGTTGCACCCTTATAATTGAACCATTCTCCATAGTTTTTCAGGGAGATATCTTAGTATAGACGGAGCTATGTCACTTGAGATATTAAAATACAGCATGAACAGAACCAAGGAAGAGAACTTTATGAATAGTTGTTGGCAGGAGTAGAGAGATCAAGGTGTGTCTGGTAGAAGAAACTGTTGAACCCCTTTGAGAGAACCTTGTATTCAGCCCACTGAACTGAATGTAAACTAACTCCTGAATTACTCTGGGGTTTTAAAATGGGCACTTGACTATTTGGCTTTCTTTCTTGCACAACAGATATAATTCTTTCTTACTGCCAGCTGTCACTGCAAGGGCTGTTTGTGTAGATCTTGGTGGTGTGGTATCACAGTACTATGCAGATAAACTATGTCAGCTGTAGGGATTCTTCTTTAAGGGAGCACTAAGAAGTGGTGGGAGAACTTACAGTTGTCCAGATCAGTTGCTGGGTAAAACAACAGGACATATACTGCCTTTCTTGTGGGCTAACCAGTAATGGATGCAGTAATAAAAACATAGCAATGTTAAAGGGGCAGCTCTATTGCTTGGGTTTTTAACTAATTTTTTTAATGGATACTTTTTTTCAGTAAGAACAGCAATTACTGTTTTGTCCTGTGTGTTTTCCTGGCTTTGCAGGTTTTCTTTGGCTTATTGAAGGAACCAGAATTTGACGTGCCTTTGGATGACGAAGATGAAGAAGGAGAAAATGAGGAAGGAAAGCCGAAGAAGAAAAAACCTAAAAAAGATAGTGTAGGATCAAAAAGTAAAAAACAAGACCCTAATGCTCCTCCCCAAAACAGGTACCAAGGGAACAACGTGTAGAGAAGTCTTGTTAAATCCAGTCTTGTCAAGCCAAATGTGCATCACTGTTCGTGTGACATTGTTAGCTCTTTGCCCATTTGAGCTGTACCCAGCTTTAGCCGTAAGACTTGTAAGGGAGGTAATGGAAAGCTCAGCATATAACCTCCTGCCTTTGCCTTTCAAGACAGTCTAGATTTCCCTTGGTAAAATTTCACTCAATTACCCACTAATCTTTTCAGGTCATACTCAATTATTTCTCTCCTTCCATTGTCTGTCTGAAATACTTAAAGCTACTGGCTCTTTTTCTCAGCAGTTAATCTTTTACATAGTCTTTCTTTTTTTTATAGTTCTTACTTCCTATTTGAATATTGTGGTATAGGATTGCAAGCAAAGGTTTTGCTTTCTCTGTTTAGATTAACAATACAAAATGTGCTTTTAGTTTGTAAAAATATGTGCTTCTTGTAGAATTCCTCTGCCTGAACTGAAAGACTCTGACAAACTGGATAAAGTAATGAACATGAAGGAGGCTGCGAGGCGTGTGCGTCTCGGCCCCGAGTGCCTGCCCTCCATCTGTTTCTACACGTTCCTTAACGCTTACCAGGTTGGTAAAAGAAGAGTTTGGGTAATGTGGAAGAGAGAATCAAAATTATAAACATCCTTCTTAATAGAGAAGGAGAACTTCACAGAGTTGGCAAGCGTTCTTGGAGTATCTGAAAAGTTGTGTTGCAAAGTTTATGTTCCAAAATCTTCAAAATTCTTTTTAACGATTCCTTAAACTATTGAATTTCTGCGGTCTTTGGTTTTTGCTCTGATTTTGCCATAATTCCTTCTTTTGCTTTTCTTGTGGGCCCCTAAGTATATTCTACAGAATATGGTAGATGTTTTGCACCAAAGTACTGGAAAACAGTCTCATTTTGTCACTATTGACTGTGCTTCATTCATATAGCTTTATTTTTAACGGTGCAAGAATTTATATGTTTATGTCTATCCTAGAATAATTCCCTCTTATTTTTGTAAATAGTCATTTTCTTATTACTAATTAAGATTTTATAATGCTTGAAATGCATCATGAGAGATAGAAATAATATAAATGGATACTTTCTGCATAGGGTCTGACAGCAGTGGATATTACAGATGACTCTAGCATGATTGTGGGAGGCTTTGCTGATTCTACGGTCAGAGTCTGGTCAGTGACTCCGAAAAAGCTGCGTAGTGTGAAAACAGCAGCAGGTAATTAAGATGATGATCCTTAATATGAGTGTGCACTGCTTGTGGAAGTTGTGTTTTGCGTGAACAGAGGAAGATGTTTGTGGCGGGAGAGTTGGCTTCAGCAGTGAGATGCTTTCACTTTGAAGAAACAGGGTGTGCACGTAAAGTGTGTATGATCGCATCTTGCCATTAGAAACATTTTTAAAGGAAATGTTGTGTAACCTGGTTGGCAAAGAACAAATTTAACCTCGATACCTCATGGATCAGGGAATCTCTGAAGGAGCACCCAGGCAGATGCAGGCAAGCAGGAGACACTGGCACCACAAAGCAAGAGAGAGTCCTTGTTAGCAAGGGAGTGAGAGAGTGAGAGCTCACACTTGGTGTTTGGGCCTGTATTTCAAGGATTCAGGCAGAGTTTTCCAATGTGCTTTGATCTTCTTCAACAGCAGGGCAGGAATCTCAGGCACATTTGTTGAGGTGCCTCTGAGTCCATCCCAGGCCTGTGTTATCTAAGTGCAGGTGTTCTCCTTGTTGAGCACACAAAACTAAACAACAATTAGTGTGATAGATGTTCTCCAGCACCCCACGTGTGAGCCACTTGAGTGTGTTGACAGTCCTCCTCACTGATCTTCCGTTACTTTCCCACAGATGGTAACTATAGGGTGTAGTAGAACAGCTGGGTTTAGATCATCTAGGGAGAGGCTAGAAGTACCCTTGGGGAAATTACAGGAGGGAACTCTGAGAAGGATGGAGGAGAACATCCTGTAGCTCAACACCTACACAAATTCCTGGAAACCAGGCTTCTTTAATTCTGCTGTTTACATAACAGTGTGTTGCTGTTGAAGCTGGATACCGTGCAAACCTTTAATTTGGATATTTAACTGAGATGTGGTCATGATGTTCAGCAAACAGTAGCCTACAGACTCAAAGTTATTTGGAGTTGTGTGTAGCTGTCACAACGTATCTCAAAAGCATCTTTGTGGCACACTAACTTTGTGGGAAAAGGCGTGAAAATTTGGCATTTCTATCAAGAAGGCGTTACTGTGTTTGGAGGCTGAACAGTGTAAGTATGAAAAATAACACACATCAGGATTGATTTATTTTAGCTCTTAGGGAAGACTTAAGAAAGTGATTATGTAAAGCATTACTTTGACTTGTTACAATGGTAAAAAATGAACCTTGAAATATTGCAGACCTCAGTCTCATCGACAAAGAATCAGACGATGTCTTGGAGAGGATCATGGATGAGAAAACAGCAAGTGAGTTGAAGATTTTATATGGTCACAGTGGACCTGTCTATGGCACCAGCTTCAGTCCCGATAGGTAAAATAAGTTTACAAGCTAACTAGTTTGCTTGTCTTGAGTTTTAATTGTGTAATACTGAATGCAATCATGTTCTGAATGCAGCTTTTTCCAGAAGATTAAAGCAATTCTTGGTGCAGCTTACCAGAAACTGTGTGAGAGCGTAGGTGCTCAGTGTCCTCAGGGGGTTGGGCACTGTCAGCTGTTACTGAAATAACCTGGAGCTGAGGATGCCAGCACTGGTTTTAAGGTTCAAGATTTGGATGGCAAAATAGACCATCATTTTGCAAACTGTAGTTTTAAGTTGGCTTTTAATGAACTGAATTGTAGGAGGGAAAAATACTGCAGGATTCATTGCACTTCAAGTGTTGCAAACCATAAAAAACAGAGCGAGTAGCATATTGTTGTGTTTCTCCTATCGAGACTTTATTTTCAAAACGTATGGAATAGTATCTTAAAATAAGAGATTTTAAACTATTATGTAATTCTGAGAGTCTGAATAATAGAAAGGAGGTTTAAATGTGTAAAGTTTGGCTTTTGCATGTGTCTAATCAGGAAACAATCATTCCAGAAATGCAACTGAGAAGTAAACTTTGTGTTGAACACGAAGATAGAGTCTGTAATTATGAATTGAGAATGTGAACGTGATATGAATTCTCTTTCAAGGAATCCTGGAATTTTGTTTAGAGTTATATTAAAAGATTTATTTTTTTTTAAAGTAACATAGTATAGCACTTTATTAGTAATTTTTTCATATAACTTGAATTCCTGAGTAAAGACCAGCTCTGTGCGTTGGTGGTTTGGTTTTGTATTTGATTTTTTTTTTTCTTGCCTCTGTATTGCTGTGTCATCAGATTAGTTATCAACATCCAAATGTCTTTTTTGGATAAGGAGCTAGGACTGGATTCTGCTTGACTTTGCTATTGTTGCTTACCCCACCAAAATGCTGGTTTCTGTGTGACACGCTGAACAGACACCGTTCAGTGGACAGTTTGTCTTATCGTAGGCACCTCAGAGTGTGCATGCAGTGGTTGACAGTCGGTGTGTAAGTTTGGTGTATAATTTGCTATATTTTCTCCTGTGACAGGAACTATCTGCTGTCCTGTTCTGAGGATGGCACTGTCAGATTGTGGAGTCTCCAAACGTTCACGTGTTTGGTGGGATACAAAGGACACAACTACCCAGTGTGGGATACACAGTTCTCTCCGTATGGTTATTACTTTGTGTCGGGGGGACACGACAGAGTGGCTCGGTAAGAAACTGGATGGGTTTTTTTTACTTGTCTGGGTCAGTTTGTGGTGGATTAACCCTGGAAGTGATTAGCTGATATACTCTAGCCTAACTGGTTACTGGAAATAAAATTTATTTCATGTCAAATAAAATACAAATTAACAAATGTTTTAATGTCAGGGTTGTGTGTTTTTTTTTCTTTTCAACACACATCAGACTATCTGATGACTAAAGAGATAGTGTTGTCTTATATGACTGTCTGATCAGAAGTGTTCTCTTCCAGCTGTTCAACAACTTAACAGAACATTCTTTATTTCTCTCTTTGGAAAAGTATACTTTTCCAAAACAGATCCTGCCAATTCAATAAACTGACCAGTAAGAAAGCACTGTGTAATTACTTCCTTTTATCCTTCGTTGTACAACAGATACTGAACTTGATTAGGGCTCTCTTCATTAATAAAGCTTTTCTTTTCAGTCTGTGGGCAACGGATCACTACCAGCCTTTACGGATATTTGCTGGCCATCTTGCTGATGTGACGTGTACCCGGTTTCATCCAAACTCTAACTACATTGCCACGGGCTCAGCAGACAGGACCGTACGGCTCTGGGATGTTCTGAATGGGAATTGTGTAAGAATATTCACTGGACATAAGGTAAAGGCCCATCATTTGCAGTGTGAAAAGTATTTAATTTGATTTCTGTGATGAGATTCTGAAGAGTGAGATTCAGAACAAATACAGCTCGAGTCACTGAATGTGAGTAAACTTAATTAACTCGTTTGGTGTGTGTCTTCCCCACCCCCTCAATGTTTCTTTTAGGGACCAATCCATTCGTTGGCATTTTCTCCCAACGGACGATTCCTGGCTACTGGAGCGACAGACGGAAGAGTTCTGCTGTGGGATATTGGACACGGCTTGATGGTTGGGGAACTGAAAGGCCACACGGACACCATCTACGCGCTCAGATTCAGTAGAGATGGAGAGATTTTAGCATCAGGTAAAATTCACTGGAAACGGTGAAGTTGCTGTTGTGTTCCATAAATCTGAAGGGGAATGATAGAACTGGTTTTGTAAATTGAGGAAGACGAAGTAGAATCACTTGCTTAGCAAAAGCAGCAACGTGAAATTGCTGGTATGAGGCGAGTGCTTCACTGGAGTGTGAAGCAGGACCCCTCGCTACTCCAGGAACTGAAGGAAGGTGTTTGTGCAGTCAGGTGATAGTGAAGGTTGGGAGCAGCTGGAGAGCAGCTCTGAAGAAAAAGACCTGGGAGTCCTGGTGGACAACAGGATGCCCATGAGCCAGCAATGTGCCATTGTGCCCAAGAAGGCCAATGGCATCCTTGGGGGCGTCAAGAAGAGTGTGATCAGCAGGTCAAGGGAGTCATCCTTCCCCTCTGCTCTGCCCTGGGGAGGCCCCACCTGGAGCACTGGGTCCAGTTCTGGGCTGCCCAGTTCAACAAGGACAGTGCTAGGTGGTATAATCCAAAACCAAATGTTTTGAGAGAGTAGTTTTTTGTGCTTTATCCACAGTCATTCGGGTTAGATTCCAAGAAAGCTGAAATCCTGGTAGTTTTTGCATGCATTCAGTAGTTAGAGGCTTGCTAGAGCCTGTTTCCTTGCGGGATGAGGGCATAAGTCCACCATTATGAGCAAGCCTGCTTTTTGAGCTTTAGTATCGGGTAACTTGCTCCCCAGTAAGACTTGATATGCCTTTTTTATTAATAAAATCATAGAATCATAGAATTTCCCAGGCCGGAAGGGACCTCCAAAGGTCATCTAGTCCCACCCCCCCACAGTCAGCAGGGACACCCCCAACTAGACCAGGTTGCCCAGGGCCTCCTCGAGCCTCTCCTTGAATATCTCCAGGGATGGGGCCTCAACCACCTCCCTGGGCAACCTGTTCCAGTGCTCCACCACCCTCACAGTAAAGAACCCTCTCCTAATCTCCAATCTAAATCTGTTCCCCAAGAAAGTATTTTAAACTGTTGTTCTTTTTTTCTTTCTAGGTTCAATGGACAACACAGTTCGCCTGTGGGATGCCGTGAAAGCGTTTGAAGATTTAGAAACCGATGACTTTACGACAGCCACTGGACACATAAACCTGCCCGAGAACTCCCAGGACTTGTTACTGGGTACATACATGACCAAATCAACCCCAGTTGTGCACCTCCACTTCACACGCAGGAACCTGTTGCTGGCTGCAGGAGCCTACAGCTCCCAGTGACTCGGGAGGTGTCACCACAGTAGGGATCTCCGGATGCGAGACCAGGAGGAATGGTCTACAGGCAGACTCTGCTGGTCTGTTGCAGGACAAACAAAACTATGTAAAACTAATGCAGAGCAGCATCTTCTCAGTTCTGACATTTCATATTTATCCACGGTTTGAAAACGCTGGAGATTGACAAGGCATCATGACTGTAAAAGAAGGAATTGCTCATGGTGCTTTTGATAAAATAGATATATATATATATGTGTGTGTATATGAAAATAGCTGTCTCCTCTCAGAGATGGTATTGAGCTCTGCTGAAACTTGTGGAAAGTTAACAGCCTTGGTATGTGTTCTCAAATGATTTTATTATTTTTTTTTTTTAAAGCACTTAATTTATGGTTAGCAAATGTTTAATCAGTCTCAGACGCAAGCAAAAACTCTTCAGTTTCAGGAAAGAAGAATGTAGTGGAATTCAGTGTCGCCTGGGCTGGGCAACGGGTATGGCCAGAGTCTGGCAGCGACAAATGGGGCATTGAAAGGAGCAGGTCCTACAGCCAGGGGCTTGTGGGGACCTGCCACCAAGTTACCTGGGGGGGCTTGATCCATCCAATTACTAAGTCCTAAAAAGTTTCAAACTCCAGTGATCTTTTTGTATCAGAAACACAGATCTTGTTATTCTGTTTTCACAGGTAGCCAGTGCTGTAAGTGTGGTAAGCAACCAGAACTGCAATGTGAACTTTATTTACTTTCATGCTTTCTTGTATGAAGAAGAAAAAAAAAAAAGGGGCAGGGGGAGAATGGGACAGGACTGAGGCACAACTGAAAAGTTATTAAAAAAAGTGGACTTTAACCCTTTTACGTTGTATTAGATCTAAAAGAACTTTCAAAACCTGGATAAGATTTAATATATCAAAATGTAAAACTAGCCAAGAAATGGAAATACTATTGCAGAGTAAAAGGATTAATGAGTCCTGTGTTATCACCAGTTCTCTCTTGAAAGGCCAAGCTTGTCTGCTGATGGGACAATTTCCACCCACAAAAACCTTGCACCCCAGTAAGTCCTCTGGGACAAGCAATAAAGCTCAGGGCTTTATTTCTAATGAGGTGTAAAATGTGCAAAACACTGGGAAGTATCACTTTGGTGTGGGTTTGGGTTTGTGTGGCATGGGTTGTTCGTTGTTTTCTGGTTTTATTAGATCTCTTACCAGCTGTATACAGGGAACCCAGTATTGTGTTCCTCATTACTTCCAGTAAGGGCTTTGACACTTACAACAACAATCTGCTGCCTCTTTAGTGAACAATTTGACAACAATCTGTTGCCTCTTTAGTGAAAATAAAACCATGACTTGACATTTCTAAGGTAAAGGAAATAGAGAACTACCTCCCTTCTCACCCCTTCTCTAACTCGTAGAGTAAAGGTATATTACAGGCATTATACATCAGTGTAATGGGTGGAAAATTCATTAGGAAGATCACCTCGAAATTTTCCTTAAAGAAAAAAGGTTAAAACTAAATTATGTTGGGTCTTTTTTTGTGTGTAATGGTACCTCAAAATTTCTTTGCTCTCAATTGGGTTTAAGTACAAGTTCTGGTGAATCAAGCAAATTACTTAAAGCATGTACAGTATTGACAGCGTAAAGAAACACTGCCACATCCTGCCTTTGTATTTTGTACAGTTTTATACTTTTGATATTATAATAAAATACTAAAACAACGTAGTTTATGTCTATATGTTACAAGAAGGTATTTTTTTCCCCTGTGATGGCTGCAATGGAAGCATGAGCAATGTTTGTAACAGCACTCTGCAAAGAGAAACAAAGTTGTTCAGAAATGGTTAAGTTGATGAGTAGCCATTTCATGTAAATCTCCTTCTAACTGCAGGCGATGGGTTTTAGCTAATTATATCTGTTGCACTGTTACAACAACCATTATTCATCTGGCAAAGCTGTACAGAGCAGAGGCCATTCACTTATGGAAACAAAACTCAAAGGAGAGGAAGAAGACTAAATTTATTCAGAAGGCCCAGCGTGTACAAATAGCTCTAAGAACACATGAACGAGAGTGAGAGCACAAAGACTGTTATTTATCTCTTTTTTTTTTCAGTAACCATGGCTACCCCTGGCTGCCCTCAGTTTGGGAAGTGTATTCACGTGCTTTAGCATCAGAAGTCCTGCGTTCAACCCCTGCTGCTGGCACCCTTCCACAAAGCACAGTGCCATATAATCATATCTGCATCAACGGGACATCTAAGCAAGGTACTCAGTTTTAATTGAGATATTGAAAGATGCTGTGGAGAACACCATGGAAAAATGTTAGTGTTGGGCAGGGAGGGGGATGTATGTATCTAACTGGGGTAGAACACCTCATTTATTAAGAGGCTACGTCCAGGAAGAATAAGGACCCGAATACTTCAGTCACTGTTTATGAACACACAGAATTATGAGAGCTTAATATCTGCCATTTTCTTCCTGGCAGTCACCTCTGCAAGAGAGGCCAGTGACAGTAAAAGCTCAAATACTGTAATTTTATCAGTCTATTCTGGGAGGTTTTCCATCAAAACCAAACAGGTTCTATGCAAAATACAGACAACTGAGGCAGAAGTTGTGCTATGTGTTGTCTTAACTGTGAAGAAGTCACGGCTTCCGCGTACACTACCAGCTTGGAATGCAAAAAGTGGGAGCAAACAGGTGACTGCAAACCACATAAGCTTATTGTTACCCACTGGGACGTGGACGTGTGGAGGTGCTTTGATGGGTTGTAAGCTCTGTGCTGGCATTATGGGCACACTGCTCAGGTCTTTCCCGGGTGCTCAGAAAGCTTTAGGATGTTTTAACAGCAAAAGAGTTAAGATAGTAATGACAGGAATCAGCTACTCCATCTCCACTACAAGTAACTGGTTTTGACAGAGAAAAAAAAAAAAAGCCACATTTATGCTTTTTTGCAACCATTTCATATTTCCAATAGAACAAGTAATTATTTTATTAGCCATAACAGATCATCAGCTTCCATTACAGTGACACAGATTGGAGGTTCAGACATGCCAGCAACCTGCCAAGAGAAGAGAGATCAGACATAGCAAGTCTTGCACGGGGTGCTAGTAACTGAGCATCCCCCCTCCCCAAGTCCAATTTTAGTTACAAGCAGGCCAATTTCAGCACAGCTGGGAAGAAACAACCGATGGTACACTAAAACATACAACAACAATGCTCAAAATTGTTGTTTTCTACCCTTTTTTGCAGCCTACGAGGCCAGCCCATAGTTTTCAAAACGCCGTTTCAGTAGAAATTTTGTACTTGGAAGTGACTCTAGAATTTTGTAACTCTTGGTTGTTGCTGTACAAGAGCAACTCAAATCACTTCTATATGGGCCTTGTGTAATCAGGCGTGCTAATGTATACGGTTCCATTATTATTAACAGACTGTGTTTATCACAACTAAGTCCTCAAGTACTACTTTTAAAGTCCCATTTACCATGTTAGAAAAAAAAATACTAGTGTCCCATACTTTCTGCATCGCCCTTGAACAACCTAGCTCACTCAGAATGCCCCCTAATAAGCTGATGCTATAGTTTAGTTCAGGTTTAAAATTATAAATACAAAGTTCACATGCCTGTGTTTCTCTCGCTCTCATTATACCCTATTATTAGCAACTTGTCCTTTGTCAGTCTTTCTTCTTGGGCTGACATTGAAGCATTTTGGTCCTGGAAGAACACCAGCCACTTACCATTTACTTATCTGCCACAGCAGGAGTTTTCTTTTTAGGCCTAAGCTTGAAATACAAGACGAGCATTGCAACACCTGTGTATGTTGCTATTACATACTGGAAAACATAAAAGTTAATATTAGTTTCAGTTTAAAACTCAGAAAATGCCATTATACTAGACTACAAAAGTTAAAAACACAGAATACATACGTTCCTCCTGCCTGTGATGGTATAGGAATTGAAGTACTTCTGAAATCCAGTGAACTGGTGTTGAGATCCCGAGTCATGGCCAGCCATGGCTGCTTGTCCTAACAAACAGGACAGGACAGTTAACAAATTTAAAGTCAGTTGGACAGGATCAATAGGAAAATCAAACTCATCTCTACACTAAACTTGATACTTCTATTGTCAGGAGATTCAAGAGACAGTGGATACACTATCGAGCAGGCACATTCAGAGCCTGCTTAAGGTACAAAAGAGGTAGCAACAACATCAGGTAAGTAAATGAGCAGTTCTGATTTATGATTTTCAGAGTTCATTCAACCAAATTTAAACCTAAAAAACCCTAAATCAGTATGGTGATGATAAAAGAGAAAATTCCTCTAAGCATTATAAAGAGACCTGCCAGTCCTGCCTACACAAACATTCAACACACGCGAATTTCTATCAATTGTTCAGGAATCTGCAATACCCAATTAAGATAAATCTTCACTAGTTCAGCTAAGAAACAGCTTCAATTACATATCCAAAAACTCAGTGACAAGATTCAGACAGGCCGCTACTCTGTTCTGTGACTGAAAATTCCACTTTACTACTTTTACACCATATTATGTGTATGGTGGCCCCAAAAGGGCCAGCAATGGGCCCTTGTGGCTAAGGAGGCCAATGGCACCCTGGGGTACATTAGGAAGAGTGTGACCAGCAGGTAGAGGGAGGTCATCCTGCCCCTCTGCCCTGGTGAGGCCCTATCTGGAGCACTGGGTCCAGTTCTGGGCTCCCCAGTTCCAGAAGGACAGGGAACTGCTGGAGAGGGCACAGCAGAGGGCTACAGAGATGATGAGAGGCCTGGAGCATCTCCCTTATGAGGAGAGGCTGGGGGACTTGGGTCTTTTGAGTCTGGAGAAGAGAAGGCTGAGGGGGGATCTGATCAACACCTATAAATACGCCAAGGGTGGGTGTCAGGAGGATGGGGCCAGTCTTTTTTCAGTGGTGCCCAGGGACAGGACAAGAGGGAATGGGCACAAACTGGAACATAAGAAGTTCCATCTAAACATAAGGAGAAACTTCTTCCTTTTGAGGGTAGCAGAGCCTGGGAAGAGGCTGCCCAGAGAGGTGGTGGAGTCCTCCACAACTGCCCTGGGGAACCTGTTCCAGTGTTTGATCACCCTTACAATAAAAGGGGTTTTCTTTTTAATGTTTAGAAATGTATTTTTCTGATGTTTGAAGAAGGTTTTATGTTTAGGACAAACATTTGTTGTTTATCTTGTAACTCACCTCAAAGGAAGCTTATATGCCATACAGTTACCTACCAAATCAGGCAGATGCTGTGGCCACCAGTACCCCACAGGAGATACAAGGAACTGCTACAAAGTGCTGTGTTCATTAACACAGCTCTTACGCTAACCCAAAACGTATCCGTCATCTATAATCAGATAAACATGCCTGTAACCGGACTCGCTACGTAACAGTTAAAAATCTTAACAAAATAACCCCCTAAACACCTGCTGTACGTGACCTGGAAAGCCAAGGTCATCTTTTCTTATGCCTGATCGATACAAAAGCCTGGAGCAGAGTCACCGTGTCCTTCCCACGGACGGCTCGGGGCAAAAACATCACAAGGCAGCTTCTCCTTTCCGGAAGAGCCCTGTGCCCTTGCCAGGCCCGGCCCGGCCCGCTGCCTGCCCTGACACCGGGCGCCACCGGCTGCTGCGGCCGCCTCAGCTCCGCACAGAGCCAGGCCCATCCCGCTGGCGCAAAGAGCCGTTACCCCGGCGTTCCCTCCCCTCAGGTCGGGCCGGGGAAGGAACACGGCGACGCCCGGTACTCGGAAGGGAGAGACGCCGCGGCTGAAGGTCGCGGGCGCCCCGGGCGACAACCACGACTCGCTTGCGCCGAGATCCGCGCTCCCGCCCGGCGGCGCAGCCCCCAAGAAGTGAAGCGCGGGCAGGGTCGTGCGGCCGGGGCGAGCACCCACCCCCGCGGCGCCCCGCGTACCTCAGCCGCTGCCGTCCCGCCGCCGCGCTCTGCCCTTCGCCAGCGCCCTCCCACAAAATGGCGGCCGGAGAGGGGCTGAGCGCAGCCAGCGCCGATTGGCTGCGACCCCACGGCGGCGAGGGGGTTCTCCCCGCCCACTTCCTTCTGGTTGGCTGAGGCGCCGTCCCGCCGCTTCCGCTCGCTCTTTCCCCCTTGAACCCAGTACTGCTTCCGGGGGTCTCGTCGTGCTCCCCGCGTGTGGCTCCCGGCCCTCCTCTCCTCTTCCCCTTCCCCTTCCCCGTTCCCCCGGCGCGGCGGCGGCCGGGAAGGTAAGGCCCCTGCGGGCAGAGCTCCGGCCCCTCCTGGCCCAGCTGCGCAGCGTGGCCGGTGCAGCCGGCTCCGTTACCGGCTGTGGGGCGCATCTCTTGCCTCAGCCAGCTCCTTGGTGGAGCCTGCCTCGGCGAGCTTTACTTTTATTATGTGCTTTCGCGGTTAAAGTAGTTTTATGTGACTAACAGACTATTTTAAATTTGTTCTAACGTTAATTTCTGTAAATTTCTGTCATTTCTGTTTATTTCTTGGCCGCAGTAATAAATAGAACGTGAATCGTGACTGAATAAATAAGGTGGTGTTTGCTGACTGAAGCACAATAAGGCTAAACACATCTGTTTTATAAATATACGTGTACAGATAGAGCTTACGCAGCAATGTATGCAATGGTATTAACCTTTAAGGGTGGCATCCAAAAAGTAAAGCCTATTTACTGAGTTTATTCTGCATTTCAGTCACAATTTTCTGCTTGATGGCTGAGGCTGGTCGTCTCAGCTTGGCCACTGAATGTGACGATAAAGACCTGTTCAAGTAACTTGCAGCTAAAAAGGTTTTATTAATATCTGTAATAAATCTATTCATATCTATATAAGTGCGTCTGCCTTAAAAAAAATTAATGTTTCAGCACAATTGGGCAGTAGTTTTTACACAGAAAGGGTTCTTAAGCCTTGGAATGGGCTGCCCAGGGAAGTGGTTGAGGCCCCATCCCTGGAGGTTTTCAAAAGAAGAGTTGACATGGTGCTCAGAGATATGATTTAGTGATGTGGGGGGGTTTTTGTATGGTTTTCTTTTGGTTTTTTATCAGTTAGGTTGGTGGTTGGACTAGATGACCTTAGAGGCCCCTTCCAACCTAGACAATTCTATGACTCTAGTAAAAAGCATTAGGGGTGTGCATATTTAGGTGGACTGTTGAAAAACTTCAGTGTAGCCAAACAGAAAGGTGACTTTCTGTTTTGTCACTGACTTAACTGTAAAGTAGCCACCTGAATTCTTTCTGAGTTTGGGCATATTTATGTCTTCAGGCTCTTCGGTGTTTTTGAGGAACAAGCGTAACAGCTACACGTTTAATCTCTATTTTTGTCGTTTGTCCCACAGAAGTGCAAGCATGGCATCCGTCGAAGAAAACTTTCCTCGAGGGGGCATCCAGAAAAAACCCACAGAGGGAAAAACACCCAACTCAAAATTAGAGCGGGACAATTTGTTTGATGTATGTTGGTTGTGTGTTCTTGATTAACTCTTCTCAGAGCTTTTCCGCTGTCAGCGTTTGAGCTGCAATCCTTCCTATCTCTTACTTCTACAGCAGGGACTTCCAGAAAGAGAAAACTGCTGATATCTACCTTTCTCTTGATCTCTTAAAGATCCCTGATGTCTGGTGCACATTGAATGTGATGATAAAGTTCAATCAGAATATCGGTCAGGCTTTCACTTCCACCATTCTTTTCCATTCCCTCAATTCACAGTTTTATAAATGATCAGCCTCAACCCAAAGGAGATATTTTAGAAGACTTGCATGTAGGTGTATAGCAGTTAGCAAAATTGTTCTTTTTTTTTTTTTTTTTTCCTCCAAACCTAGTATTTTCTTCTAATTTTATTCCTGTCAGCAGAGTTCTACCTTACTGCAAAGTTCATCTCTTTATTTTTTCCCCCTCTCTTCTTATGATCTGCTTTAGGTTCACCATGAAGAAAAATCTCAGAAAAGAAAAAGGAGCCAAAGTGATCAAGGAAAGCAGAAAAAGTTCAAGGCAGACAGAACAGCTGCTGCTAAAGACAGTGTTGTGAATATCGAACCACTCTCAATTGAGGTTTGTGGATAAATATTTGATTTTGTGTGCATATCTCTTCCAGGCCATGTAAAAATGGCATGTTCTTTTTCACTAAACCTCTAAAATATAGCAGTGATTGGGGACAAAAGTGTGTTTACTGCCCTGTTATCACTGACTTGCTGAGATACCTACTGTATGCTGTTCTGCTTTCCCAGGCGGTCTGTGAGGGGATGCTGTTCCTTGGCTGTATAAAAGAGGTCAGTGACTACGAGCTGGTCGTCAGCTTGCCCAACGGCCTGTCAGGATTTGTGCCGGTCACGCAGATCAGCGATGCCTACAGCACGTTGCTGAGCAAGCAGGTGGCCCAAGGAGAACTCCTGGAGGTGAGACCTTGGACCGGGGCTATGATTTGTACCTGGGAGTTAAAGAGTGTTAGTAATACCTCAGAACCAACCCCTGAGACCTTGCTTGGGCGACTGGTTTCTGGTACCATAGAATCATGAAAAAAGCTGCTGAAAGCAGGTTTTACCATACAGGAGGAAGCTGTGCAAACACAGGATCCACAGCCCTACTGTTCCCTCCTTCTTACTGTTCTTTTCGTAGAATCACAGAATGGTCAGAGTTGGAAGGGACCTGAAAGACCATCGAGTTCCAACCCCCTGCCCTGGGCAGGGACACCTCCCACCAGACCAGGTTGCTCCAAGCCCCATCCAGCCTGGCCTTGAACCCCTCCAGGGATGGGGCAGCCACAGCTTCTCGGGGCAGCCACAGCTTCTCTGGGCAACCTGTTCCAGGCTCTCACCACCCTCACAGCAAAAAATTTCTTTCTGGTATCTCATCTAAATCTCTCCTCTTTCAATTTAAACCCATCACCCCTCATCCTATGGCTCCACTCCCTGACCAAGAGTCCCTCCCCATCTCTCCTGTAGCCCCTTCAGGTACTGGGAGGCTTCTATAAGGTCTCCCCGGAGCCTTCTCTTCTCCAGGCTGAACACCCCCAGCTCTCTCAGCCTATCATCATAGGAGAGGTGCTCCAGCCCTCTGATCATCTTCTGATCAGATAGATATCTATCTCACAGCTGACTTGAATTTGATTGCTTCTAGTGCCTTAGCCTTGGATAAATAATCCTTCAACTTCAGAGATGGCCTGTTGAGCATGAAGAGATTTGTGTTGCCTGTCTGCTGCTGCAGCTAAATACTTGATCCCTGGCTGTAGGCAACAATGGAAAGAAGTTAGGGCAGTGGTTGGAAGATGATGTAAGGCCACATTTCATTGCATGTGGCCTCGTGCAACGTGCTGCTGTGTAGTGCTAACGTAGACTGACCTTGGTTTGGAGCTGTGTCTTCTAAGCAAGCTGTGATTTCCTCATAATGACGATTGCTAGAAAGAACAAGGATGGAATAATCTGTTATCCTGTCTCTCTGGTGTCAGCACTCCATAAATTTTTCCAGGGTGGTGTGGAACGTGGTACCTGCTGGGTGTGGTAGTGATTTTCCCTGCTAAAGACAGAGGTGAGGTTAGGGTCATTGCTGGCTCTGTAGACCCGTTTTCTCAGCTACAACCTCCTGACTCCAGCCCACACAGTATTCCTTTTTAAGCAAAACCTCCTGGACTTGCTAACCTCGTGTAATGTCATCCCTGCCTGTACTGAGATCCTGGTGTTTGTGGCATTTTCTGTCTCTTATTGTAGCGTTGACACAGAAACAGGACTTTGCTGGGGGATTTTGATTTCAAAAGCTACTTCAGTAACAAACTCTGGCCTTCTTACTTATTAATATAAAATTTGTGTGTTTCTCTCTTGATCATCTTGCTGGGCAGGACTTGAATTCGCTCTCGGACATGTATTCTCCAGGGACACTGGTCAGGTGCGTTGTGACCAGTGTTGAGAAAAGTGCGGACGGACGTCGGAGCATCAAATTATCCATCGACCCCAAGAAGGTCAATCAGGGTCTGAATGCTTCAGCCCTTGCATCGGGCATGGTATGTGTTCTGGGTCCATTGTAGCCTCTCTAGGCTTTGGAGGTGCCTCTTGCAGAGTCTGGGGGGGAACATTTAACTTTGTCCTTGCATGGGATCAGAGCAGAACCTGGAGCTTCTCCCACCGTGGACGAGACCTGGGAGGAGAGGGCAGTATTGAGTCTTGGTTCCAGGTTGTCACTCCTGAAATCCACTCACCTGATTTTGTTTCAATATGGACACGTTATTAAATAACTTATTTTTGAGTAGATTTCTTTATTATTTATGCAGAGAATAATATTTAACCTGCTTTGCAGAGGTGTTTAGTTGTTTAGGTTTTGTGTTTCCAGCTGTATGGTTGTAGGCGTGTGCCTGCAATTAGAACACCTGCTATTTTTGAGCATCCCAATTTTTCTTCCCTACTGGTTTGTGAACTCCATATTTGCATAGTTGCATAAGGGTAGAGTTGAGACCCCACTGGCAGATAAGCTCTGTAATAAGAGAGAATGTAGCGTTCTTTCTGCTGCTCCAGAAAACTCAGCGCTCTGTTCTTGTGAAACAATTAAGCATTTGGGTGGGGAATCTCTTATCAAATATGCATTCTTTGAAGACCTGGCTGTTTCACCACGTTACTGAATCAGTGCTTCCCTCCCAACAGCTGCTCTCTGGCTCCGTGTCTAGTGTGGAAGACCATGGCTACCTCATTGATATCGGAGTTAGGGGGACTCATGCCTTCCTGCCTCGTCAGAAAGCCCAAAATTACATCAAAGCAGTCAAGAGAGGTAAGTAGTAGTGCAGTAGAAGCTGCTGGGGTTAAAATGGAGGTGGAGAATGACAGGAATTAAAGCTTGTTATATTTGTGGTGTTAGAAGATCTCAGTGAGATTGGGTCAAGGTAGAGTCTTTGTGAGTTGCTGGAAACTGCAGTTTTCTGGCTGGTCTGCAACAAGCTTTTTGGTTTCAGCCTGGTTTCTGCAGGCTGTGTTACTCTTCCAAGCCCATCCATCCCTTCTGGCACCAGACTTCACTTAGATTGAGAGGAGTTCTAACTTCTTAAAATAGAGGGAACTCTTAAAAAACTTCAGAAAGAGTAGAAGGGAATCCCTGA